AAGTTAAATTTCAATTATTTTTTCATAATTTTTATTTCTAATTGATCATTTTTTTGGAACATTCTTTTGAGCCAAATAAATTTTAATCTTAAATAAAAGAAATCATATTAGAACTGAGTAGCTTATAAGGAAAAAGAAAGTCTATAGAAACTCAATGTTAGAAATTCGTACTGAAATTTCACTTGCTAATTACATTTTTAATATAATTATTGAGAAATAATTGAAGTGAAAAAAAAGGATACAGTTAGCTTAGAGATCCCAAAGAAAAATAGCATTGAAATAAAGCAGATGAGGCAGTGATTTTGAAGGAGCTCAAGGAAGTACCTCCAGATTCATCGATTGTTGCTAAACAAAGCCCCTTAGTTTCTGAATTAATGTTCTATTGATTTGATTTGCTTTGCTTTAAACTTCTATTTGAGATAAATTTATTAACATTATTAAAAACTTATTTTTTTGATTTTCTGATAAAATGGGCATCATTTGGAATTAAGATTATGTTAACTAATTTACATTTTAATCCTATTATAAATAATAGATGTATGTATTTGAGATAGATATGAATACTAAATGGTATAATAAAATTAAGGAAATTGCTGTAAAGTATGGTACAATTATTGGCTATTTCCATAATAATATTTAAATTTAAAAGGGCTTCTATTGAATAAGAATGGCAATTATATTAATTTAATGAGGAAGAAAGAAAAAAGTGATTTTATAATTTAATAATCTATTGAGTTTAATACTTATAGGATATCGATAATTAAGTGATGACGGAGAGTATTTAATCATTTGGGATGAAGAATCAAAGGAAATATAAATAAGAAACGTAGAGAATTATGATATTATAATTTACATATTATAATATGTAAGAATATTTTATTTTTAATATCGTATTTATTAAATACATGTACTAGTCTTGCAAGATAATAATTTATATTCTTACTTTTTAATTATTACAATCATCAATCATCAAGTTTTATTGTTGTTAATATTATGTAGTTTTGATTAATTTTTCAATTATTTGATAATCATAAGTTAATTGAGGTAAATTAAATATTGATTCATATCATGTTTAAATTAAGTTTGAAAATAAATCATCATATATTAATGTAGTTGAAGATATATTTATTTGATTTATGGGTTTTAGTTTATATGGTAGGATATATTTATTAATAAAATCCACAATAATTTATAAAATTCAAATAATTTCATATATCCAACATTTTCAATCAAAAATTATTGTAAAAATGATCTTTAATAAAGCTTTTTGTATGAATAATAGATTTGCTTAAATTTATGATTAATTTATAAGAGAAATAATTTAATTTAAAGCTAATTCTTTAATAAAATGGATGTAGAATTTGAAGAAATAATGGATATTAAAGTTCATTCATATTGATTGTAGAATATTTTTATAAGGATTTAATAGCTTTTAAAATAAAAAATAGGTATTTAAACAGTTTCCAAAAGAAAGGAACACAATAATTTATTTCTTAAAAGATTGAAAGAGTCATTTGCTTAAATGATCTAAATTTCCTAAATGCAGATATAGTTTGATATGTGAATATATCAATATATAATATAATCCGATTTCTGAATCGAAAAGTTTATCTTTTTATTTAAAATAAATTAAAATCATAATCTTTTACCTTGTTTAAATATCTATCATAAATTTTAGTGATTTTTAAGAGTAGTTCATAAAAAAATTGAAAGCCGAAATTGCAATAAATTTAAAAACAAAATATCGTTTGTTGTTACTAAAACTAAACTATATACATTTGCTATTAAATAATACAAAATAGTATTATTTAGTAAAGACCGAAGCTAGTTATACTTTAGTAGCCTACTGCTGCACAAAAGAAATGCCAAAATTACTTATGTTGTCATATCCTTTTGAACCTTTTGAAATTATTTTCTCCATATTAATTAAAGATCAGGATTTTTAATAGGTTCAATAAATTCATTTTGGGATTAGATTGATGAATTTTTGAGGCTAGATCCTTTTATAGAGAAAGGAAATAAATGAAAACACAATAGTTATAGATTATTGTTAATATCATTTAAGACTTCACAAATATTTGAAATCTTATTTATCTTTAGAAAATACTAAATGGCCGAGAAACTTGTTTTTTTTCAAAATACTCCAATTATTGATTAAGCTAGTCTTTTAGTTTTCTTATACTATTTAAAAAGAAACTTCCATTATTAAAAACCATAAATCCCTAATTTAATACATAAAAATAAATATTTCATAAAATAAATAACTTCAATTGAATTTAATTAATTAAGCCAAGAAAGCACTAAAACTTGATGAAATATCTATTAAAAATACTCCATTTTATCTTCTAAAGGATGTAAAATACTATAGAAATTAATAGATGTGTAATGCTGACCATTAGAAATTATAAACTCAAATTTGTGAAAATTAATAATAAACATAGAGATAAATTTTTTTATTAGAAGAATAGTATTTTGATATTTGGAAAATTCAAGAATGTTAATTTTATCAAAAGTAGATCCATACTTGTT